GCAACTCATTTTCCATGATAGCCGCATTCTGTGCAATTTTTCTTCGCATAATTGTAGGAAACAGCAAAATATTACATCGGACAGATAAGAAGGCTGAAAAGAGGTCAGTCTGGCTAGTATATTTACAATCGCTAATATCGATAAATTAGCCGAAAATTGGTCACGGGCAAAGAAAATAAGAACCACCTCATAAAGCAGCCCTGTTATTGGAAAATGAGTTGCCGTTTATTTTAAAGCAATCCTGTCAAAATTTTGCAATTCCTGCCCCTATGTCGTCAAAAACAACAAATTTACTACTTGATATTTGGCAAAAGTTTATCTCGCTAAGGCAAAAGGTTTTTGCCAATAGCCACACCAATTCACAAGACGATATTATTCTCTTAAACGAATATCGCAATTTATTTAATCAAACCACTGCTGGTGTCGAAATTTCTGAATATGATAGGCAATTAATCGAAGCCATTATCAGATACTCTGAGAATCTCCAAAAGTCAATAGTGGCGAAAGGGGAATTTTTGATGAAGCGAGCTGATATTCTTTTCGTGTTCCAATCAAAAATTTCTGCCATCATCAATGAATCTATTCCTTTAGACACGCTAGAAATCGAAAGAAGCCATATTCCGAAGCAAATGGGCTATCCAGAAAAGCACATCAATCCAAATTCAACCTCATCGTTAAAGTTTTCAAAAAGATCCAACTACCCAAAGAATGTTACCTTTGTTCTGAAAAACTGGCTGGAAAATAACACCAACCACCCATATCCCGATGAAGAGCAAAAGGTGAAATTGTCGAGGCAGACTGGATTATGCTTAACTCAAATCAACAATTGGTTTATTAATGCTAGAAGGAGAATCCTTCCCGATCTGACAGAAAAGCGCTCCATTCGCTAGCTCTTTCTTTTGGACTGTGATTTTGATTGTGCTATTTTTTGCGTGCAAATTAAAATTTAAAGCAATGATCTAATCGATCAAATGCCCAATAAATTGAGCGGTAAACAGTTCAGGCATGTGGGTGTCTATTAAGTACTTTCTTGCAAGCATACTTATCTTGCCTTGTCTCTTAAATGGAGAATATATTTATCTGCATCCAAAATTTACCAGTTCAATTCGCGCCGACCCGGTTTCTAAATATTACCCTTTAATAAGCAAAAGTCAAGAATTACATCCCCGATTGTATCAGATTTTAAATTTACCAGCCTCTCACGAGTCAAATTTTTATCGATTGGACGGAAATGGGAACCCGATCATTAATACTGACACTTCAATCGCATCTTCTTCTGAGATAGGTCAGCTTGAAATTCCGGCTTCAATGTTATCTGCCTACGAATCACCTACTGTACTTGCAAATCTATTTATAAAAACTCATAGGGTTTCTGTTTGCGGAGACGGCATATTGGATTTTGGTAACGACGAAAAATGCGAATTTGTACTCACTGAAATGGGTAAAAATTCATTTGTAGCAACAACCCCACCGCCAAACTACCACTTCCAATGGGTCCAAGATAAAAAGAGCATCCATCCCACGCAAAGGGAATGTCTTTGGGCTCCCGGAAGAATTGGCGGCTGCAATAATCGGGCCTCTTTAGGTGGCATTCAAAGGTTTCACCTTCCTTCGCCAATTTTTGCGCACTATTGCGGTGATGGGATTCATGATATTTCACCTACTCATCCGCTATTACAATCATTATTGGAGGCATGGAACCAACCTACATCCGAATATCGGCAATTTTTTACCATATGTGGATACCTTGATGAACATTGCCTACTTCCAATCTACTGTAATGAAGGAAGCAATCCATGGATTGTTACCGGTAAGACTATTAGATTCACCTCAAATTCTCTCGAACAATGTGATCTTGGTGATCTTCTAAATGGTGCTGCCAGCTCTGGATGCACCTCTGAGTGTTCGCTCCGTTGTTCCCATAAGCATGGCGGTGTTGTTGATTGGAATGATTGGCCTCGGCTCTCGTGTCATCAGCCTTGTCCTGATGCCCGATGGAAAGGCTTGTATTGCGATGTACCAAATTGTGACCATGGAATACCAAATCTTCATGAAGGGGGATGCTATTCATGCGAAAACGGGTGGATAGGGCCCTCTTGCAGTCAAAATATTTGCGGAAATGGTCGGATTGCTGGATGGGATGATAGTGTTGCAAAGACACAAAGAAAGCCAATTTGCATATGCAATGCAGGCTGGTATGGTCCTGCGTGCGATAAAAGCTACTGTGCCTTATGGGATAGCGGCGGAAAATGCTTGGAATGCATTTCTGGGAAACGAGACCCAACCACTTATTGCATCCAAGATGCTTGCGTTTATGGGGAAAAACCCCCTCGAGCTTCCGCCGACGGGTCGTGCCTTCAGCCGTGCAAGGTGGGGTTTTTTAGTGGCAAATTTTGCAATGAAACAAAATGTATTCAATGGGAAAGAATTGATCTGACCAGCATCAATGACATTAGATGTGTCAAATGTTTGCCGGGACATGAACTTCCGAACTGTACCCCATCTCAAAATAGCAACGTATATTCTAGATGCGAGAATCCATGGAAGTTTGGTTATGACTGTTCCCAGTCCAGAAGAAAAAATCCCTCAACAAATCAGTGCATCCCTGGATGGATTGGCAAATATTGCTCAATTTTGGCCTGTACTCGCGGCTATCCAGATTTTTCACACCCTAAACTGCATTGCATTAAGGGCTCTTGCCTTCCCGGCTGGGGGGGAAAGTGGTGTGAGATTAGCAATCTTATCCTTATTGATGATTTAAACAAGCATCAAAATTGGGCTAAAGCAAGAGCACTCGTATATAAAAAGTATGTTTATCTCACTCAAAACTCTCCACTGGGAGTTAGCTTGAAATTGTGGAGAGATATTGCAACGGCAATTGTGTATGGAAAAAGACCCACCGATTTGATGGCTAAAAACTCCATTAATCGCCTTCCTGATTGGAAGAATTTAGACAAGGCCATCGATCATGAAAGGGTCTATTTTTCTGAAAAGAGTTCGTGGATTCCTTTGAAACCGGATCAACAGATAAACCATGCCATTGACAATGTAAAGCTTGAAATGGGGAAATTTCTTCAAAGGCTAAAATCAAAGAACCTTTATGTTGGGATTTCTTCCAAGGATCCCAATTTTGACTATGATATTCCGATTCAGAAACATTGTGAATATGGGATTCCACAAGAAGCTTCAAAATATCTTCCATGTCGCGATTGTGCCCCTGGGTGGTTTGGCGACTATTGTGACATGACAAATTGTGTTGAATTTCTCAAAGACAACACGAATTGTACCAATTGCAAACCCGGTTATGAGGGAGATTTTTGCTTGATCGAAACCCTTAAGAAAGACAAAAATGTGGAATGCTCGAATGGATGGGAGAATCCCAACTGTCAAATGCCAAAATGTCTTTATGGGTATAGGTTGGTATCGCCTCAATATAGCAGACAAAAAAAGCTTCATCAAGCTGTATCGGCTCAAAACCCAATCACAATTGACATTATGCACTTGTTCAGGATCGAGCGAAAGTGGATTAAAAAGCATATACCCTGTGAACTGTCTGCTTCCCAAATGACAACCACTTCATATGATATAAAAATGCATTCAATCGTAAAAACGGTGACAAATTCTTTGCTTTGTGATGGGATTCTTATAAGATCTGTTGAAGATTCTCGTTGTTCAGCTTGCTATCCTGGATTTGGGGGAGATTATTGCACTACCATGTCTAATGGGAAGCCTATTGATAATTGTACGGAAATTTGTATCAATGGAGTTTGGAACTGGGAGAAAGGGTATTGTTTCCCCTGCTTTGCTGGCTTTTTCGGGGAAAGCTGCGAGAAAAGTCATTGTATGGAACTATCCACTTCAAATTATACTTGTATCTCATGCCAGATGCTCAATCCCTCTGAACTTGATTTAAAGCTTCGCGATCTTTTGAAAACCCATGCTTCTCCATTGTATGGACAGCGGTTTGGGGATTATTGTGAGTCTCGTGGGCTATGTTTGTTTGGAGTTCAATCAAAAACTGACGAAGGTTGTTTATCCTGTTCTTCGCCCTGTGTCACTGGCCCTTATTGTAATGAAACCCGATGTTCTTATTTTTCTTCAGACCAGATTCCAATTTGTGCTGTTTGTAAAGAGGGCTGGAAGGGGGTTTGCTGTCAAGAAAGCGCCATCCTTGAGGAAAAGAAAGCTGTTCCTTCTATTTTAGATTCGATTTTTAACACTTGCAAATCAATTGGTCTTGTAGGATGGCCTCAGTGCAGTAGAAATCGCTGTACTTATGGAGCTATGAACCTCACCGATAGATAATTTTTTCGCTGCATTCCTGACTCTTGTTTGCCAGGATGGGGCGGTCCGTGGTGCACATTTCCGCTTTGGGAATCTGAAGATGTATCCCCAGCTCTCCAAACACATCTACTAAATCAGCTCAAAGAAGCAGTTAAATATTCAAATGTTGAGCAGAAAGCCCATCTACCACGTCGTATTGGATCTTGGCAGGGAGGAAAATCGATCGGATTTTCCTCAAACTCGCTTTTCACAGATATTGCGCCTTTTAAATCGGATCCAAAATGCAGCCTTCCTGCGCTTACTGGTCATTATTGCAATAGAAGATTTTGCAAAAACGGAATTTCATTCTCTGATAATTCAAAGGAATGCGAAGTTTGTTTTCCCGGTTGGATGGGACCATTCTGTAATGAGACACACAGAAGGAATCCGTATAATGAAAGTGACGTTACGTGTGAGAAGGGTTGGTGGAATCCCATTCTTTGTGATAAAAAGTCAGAGTGTAAATCGGCTTCCTCTACACCCGATGATGACGGACTTCCCTGTCCAGGTGGGGTGGCAGATTTATTTTCAAACAAATGCGCCATTTGTTCATGGCCTACTTTTTTCAAAGGGCCATATTGCAATCAAAGCACCTGCATTCATGGATCTCCATCACTTTTGCCTTCTTCCGAGGGAACTTGCTTGCCAGGATCGTGCAATTTTGGGTGGAAAGGACATTTTTGCAACGAAAGCTTATGTTTGCATGGCTATAGAATACTATCATCTGGCGCAATAACGGAACATAATGTCTACTCATACTTTCCTTCTCAACGATGGTCTTATGGATGGCGGGGGATTGGCCGGGTTAAGGTAAAGTCCTCCCTCTCTAATTTGCACGAAAATTCCCAAACCTCTGCAAATAAGGGATCTTCTGGTTTCTTTTTTTCTTTTTTCAATTGGAAGCTCCGTGAGAATCCTTCAGATATTAACAAGGTCTCTTCTCCTTCAAAAAATATCGATGACTCTGTGAACGAAATAGCAGAAAGTCCTCTTTGTACAGAATGTTACCCTGGATATCCACAATCCCCTTTTTGCGACCAGCTATATCAAGATGCCTCCATATGTATCCATGGATGGTTTGATCACTCTACAGGTAAATGTTCGGACTGTTTTCCTGGATGGGCAGGTCCACTGTGTGATACTTCTGCCTGCATAAAATGGCTGGTTCCGTATGTCAAATGCAAGGAATGCCAATCTGGTCTTCACGGTCCGCTATGTGAATACAAGTCTCTATGTATCCATGGTGTTCTTGATAGACGTTCGCCCTTGGGTGCGTGTCAGGCTCCATGTCTATTTCGCTTCTTTGTAGATCCTTTTTGCAATGAAACCAATTGTCTTGAAATCGGTGCAGATGGGATGCCAAAGCTTGATTCCAACGGATATTGCTTAGCATGTCGAGATGGTTACCAAGGCTCGTATTGCACCTCAAAGCTCAGTTGTGTCAATGGACTTGTTAGCGCTATATTAGCTGAGAAGAATGAAATGTGTATCCCTGGAACTTGTGCTCCTGGCTGGAGTGGGCCTTGGTGCCACAAAAGAACCTTATTTAGACCTGGATCCCCTACAGACACTACTAAGTGTGAAGAAGGGTGGATCGGCTCCTTATGCGACATTCCTGACTGCATGCATGGCGTTCCAGATTTTGCCTACGGATGGTGTCGTTGGTGTCATCCCGGCTGGGTAGGTCATGCTTGCGACACCAAACCTTGTCTATTTGGAATCTCCAATCTGCTATATCAGCCAATGAGAGAAAATAAAAGTCTCGAGCTATTTTCACCACCATGCATTCCAGGCACATGTTTGGACTCTTGGAGAGGCTCTGATTGTGCGCATCCATCCTGTTTTGGAGAGGGCGCTGATTCTTCACTCTGGAACGTTCCCTCTGGAATCTTGTATTTGTTATTTGGGAAATCGGGCCCTCAGCGCGGATGGTCCTCTGTTCCCACTTTCACTGATTCTCCAAATGATGAGGCAGTAGTTGCTAAATCACCTGATATTCTCCCATCAACAGATGGAAGCATTCCAGGCATCGACTGGAATACTCTAAGTTGTATGGGATGTTCCCACCCATACTACAGACCGCCAACATGCGATAGGATCAACAGGTGTTTATGGGGAATTCTCGATGAGGCTTCTTCTGATGGAAGATGTGTTCCAGGCTCCTGCCAACGAGGGGGAGGTCCGTTTTGCTCAAAGCCAATCTGCTACCATGGAATCCCAGATCCCAAATTTACTCTTGGATGTCACAAGTGTTATTCTGGATGGAAGGGGCTTTCGAGCGACTCTAAATATCCATTGGTTATTGAGGAAGATGTTCCGAATGTGCTTGATCTCTCCTTTGATGCCCTCCCGATCTTGATTTGCGATACTCCAACATGCATCAATGGATGGCTTCATTTTCTTTATCCGCCCACAGTAGACCCACATTCTTATATTTGTATTTGTTTTGATGGATGGCAGGGGCAAAACTGTGACCAGATAATGGAGGAAAGCTTTTCAAACGGCTCAGCAGGCCAACATAGACCTGGATGCCCTGAATATACGTGTCCCAAGCCCTTGGATATGGCACTAGACTGCCCGAACGTCAATGACAACAACTCCGCTGTGACGATTGAAATTGCCCCTCGAAATGGATGTCCCCCAGGCACGGTGGACAGTCTGTTAGTGGAGCTTTTTTTGGAGAGAAAAAATTCAACATCAACAACCTCCTCATAAAGTGTAGTTTAATTAAAATGCTCAAAAAATATTATTGTACCACCCAACGAGAGACATACTTTTGCATTTGATGGGGGGGGGAGGGGGAGAGTAAAAGTAGCCGTCAATAGTTGGTTCGACAGAAAATTTTAAAATTTGGCACAATTGCATCATTAATTTCAGATGATGGTATTGTTGTGATTTTTTGCTCCTCAATGTGTCTGTTACTTTCCAGGCTACGAGGCCCACTGTCAAAAGGTTTTGAGAATAGGTTCTTTTCTTCTTTTCTAATTCCATATGTGATCGAAAATTTACCTGGTGGGGGTGAAAGAGCATATGATATATATTCTCGCTTGCTAAGAGACAGAATCATATGCCTGCATTCTCAGGTGAATTCCCAGGTAGCCTCGTCGATCATTGCACAGCTTCTATTTTTAGAGGGAGAAAATAATGAACGCCCCATCCATCTATATATAAACAGCCCAGGTGGTTCTGTCACGGATGGACTAGCAATTTACGATACAATGCAACTTATAAAGGCGCCCGTCTATACAATTGCTATGGGCATGGCAGCATCAATGGGTTCCTTCTTGTTAGCTGCTGGTGCCCCAGGCCATAGGAAAGCGCTGCCAAATTCAAGGATTATGGTACACCAGCCCTCAGGCGGTGCAACAGGACCAGCGGCAGACATTGAGATCGCCGCCAAGGAAATCCTGCGTCTGAGAACGCTTCTCAATGAGATATACGCTCGACACACGGGGCAATCTCTTTCCACTATTGAGAGAGCACTCGATCGCGATCGGTATATGACCCCGGAAGAGGCTGCCGGATTCGGTCTCATCGATGGAGTGCTTAATGCAACACCCTCGAGACAAATATTATAAAATATAATCCCTTTTGGGCATACTTTTCACAATATCGTCTGGTAATTTCTTCGCATATGTATGGAAAGGAGTAATAGCAATTTTGCACGTTTACAAAAAGAAATTTATCATTTCCTTGACACTAAAATTACAATTTAGCCGAGGAAAAATAATAGGCCAAGTAACTTTATAAATTAACAGAGCTACACAATATCAACATGGGAGCGATAAAACTGTTGGGAAGGATTTATATTATGAGTTGCTTCCCTGGCAACGTCTGTTTGAATTCCATTGTCCTCATAACCTAGAGGTAGAATAGATGTGGTTATAGGGGTCTATGAGCTAAGAGAAACAGTTGTACCTTCAACATTCGCCCCTTTCTCTGCTTCAGATGCAGTTTGGTCAATGCTATATCGAGTACCTGCACAGTTGAAATCATGATAGCATCTGTCTGCTGCCGCTGTTTGTTCAAAAGTTGAATTATCTGGAGTCTTTTTTCTCGACAAATTAAAAGAATCCTTTAAAAATTCTTGCACAAGCATGCCAGTCGCTAAAATTCCTCTCGAAACCCCTAGTGGGGCTGTAATATTATTAGAAAGATGAGATAAAGATACATTTAAGGAGTTGGCTGTGTATTCCCCTTCAATAACCGACATCGCCCTGGTGTTAGCAGGGAATATGCCAGCGTACTCTATCTCTCTTGAGTGTCCGAGGACGGAAAAGTATTGCTGACCAAGGGCAAAAGAGATAGAATTCAACAGAGGCTATAAAAATTTGACACAAAAGGTTACCTGTGGAGGCGCGGTAATATTAGTTTTTTGTGGAGAGCTTGTGAACACATCTGTGCTTTTAAAATTTTCCTTTTCATTGTAAAAAGGCACCGAAGTTGGCATCGAAGAATAGGGAACGTACTCCGGATTTGGTAAAGATAGTGGGAAAGGAGAAAGAAACGTCTTCTTAGTAAGCGGATCAACAATTTGGTACAAAGGTGGGGCCGTGGTAATAAATGCAGCTGTATCCTGGGGCATTAAATTTGCCTCTGCGGGTATGGTAAGGCACGGGTTTAACGGATAAAAGGCAGGCTGGAGGGAATTTGGCGATATCAGCAAAGTAGTAGGCGCAAAATGTTTATGAGAAAATTTGGATATAGTTTCAGAAAAATGTCCATCTTGGCCAGTCGGAGGCATATGGGGAACGGATAGCAACTCTGTGTGAAATGGAGAATGGTTATCAAAGTCATTGGCGTTGGAAAATGGAGGTGAAGAATTTATATCAAAAATATTGGAATTTGAGGTCTCCGCAGAAAATGCGGAGATTAAATCTGTTGTACACATGCTCCGCCGGATGCCACTTGGCTGCGACTTTGAGCGTGATTTTTTAGGCGTGTAGTGGCAAAGCTCGGCCACGCTGGCCTTGATGCATCTCGAACATGGGGTTTTGTGGTTGCAGCTTTGATGCTTTTCACGACAGCGATCACAAGCATACCCGAAAATCATCAAATCTTTGTCGAGGTGAGCGCAACAGGAGGGATGAGCCTATCGGACTTCGGGTAAAGAATAATTAACTAAAATGATGCGATTTATTTGTGATAACGACGAATAAAACTTGATTTAATTTGAATAACATTGGGGTGGTCTTTAAACCTCGTAAACATTTGCACTCAACATGTGAAGAAACACTTGTTATTTTGATGCCGTTTTAATAATTTGCCAGGCAGCAGCAAGCGGCCAATTTTGAAAGTAAAATTAACTCATGCTCGCCACGCGAATGCATCCTGGCCCCCTCTGAATTTTAAAGCCTCTGAATATTATTTAAGGATGCTCGGATGCATCATAATTTCTCGTCAAAAAAGCAGCCAAGCTAACACAAGTTCTCCATCATTAATTCTTAATGTGATTTATTAATAGCAGTTACACCTCTCTCCATCGGTTTCTTCGCCAAAAGAATCTTTTTCGAAATTGGCTTTGAAAGTATCTAGATATTCGGTCCCTGCGTGCTTCTGGAAAAAGGAAGTGCCGCTCAACTCTAAAGGACATCCTTCGACTTCTTCATTGTCAGAATCAAATGAAGACTCATCATCTTCAATTGCTTTTGAAGAGATAATAAAGGAATAATCAGTTTCACAATTTTCTGAAGATATTATATTATAAGTATTTTGGAAAAGACAAAACGGCTCTTTGCTGATCATATCACCAGTGGAAAAGGAATTTTTTTCCAAGTCATCGGTGAAATTGTAAGTTAAGTCATCAGTGGAATTGCAAGTTAAATCATCTTTAAGCTCTAAATTGAAGTCTTTGCCAAAATACTTATAATATAATATCTTCAGAAAATTGTGAAACTGATTATTCCTTTATTATCTCTTCAAAAGCAATTGAAGATGATGAGTCTTCATTTGATTCTGACAATGAAGAAGTCGAAGGAT